AGGTGTTTTCTGGGTTGCAATTATTGCAAGAACTGCATTCAGCACGGCTGCTGCCCCTACTCTCACAAACCATCATTATGCCTTTACACTAGCTGTGTGTGATATTATATTGAATTCCCAATCGAAAAATCTCGTCTGTAGCGAAAGTCAAATTAAGCATCGCATGGTGCGCTATTTGGTAAATATTTGTAACATATCAATTGTAACTACAAAATGAATATTAACCTTTATTATACTAGAATGACTTTGATAACAGTGGTCCTAATCAAGAATCGGCCAACACAATCATTAATAATGAGCTTGCTTCAGGCTCTCATGAAGCTAAACAATTAACACAAACGCAATCAACGCAGACCAATTTCAATACTGAACCTGACCTCAATACAACTCCCCTGTCCCGAAGTAATTCTTTAATTCTTTCGCAGGATGCACAGGACGAATTGTTTGGGATCTCTTAGTGGCATTGTTTTTTTTGTAATTTTTTATATATTGTATACAAAATGTATCTCATATGTATAAAATAAATTGTATTCAATTTAAATATATAAATTTTATTCGCTTTAAGTTGATAAATATAAAAGTGAATCACTGTAATATTTAATATAATGATTTGTGTATATCGATTCTAATATTATGAGTATAGCAGTATATATCGATTATAATCAGCTTATGGCTATCTATCGATTATAATCGATATATAACCTAAACGATTATAATCGATAAATTACCTAACACGATTCTAATCGTTTAGGTTATATATCGATTATAATCGCTTCAGTTATATATCGATTTATATTCTTTTCATTATATATCGATTAGTATCACAATCGTTATAAATCAGCAGGGGTGATTTATATCGTTATATATCCTTCGGTTACTAATCGATATATAACTCTCTGTTTTTTTTCTGATGTTCTTCTGTAAGCTTTTTTTCTTCAAAGTGCCTTGGGCCTTTTTTTGGTCTTTCCACTTCTGAATTACGGATAGTCTGCTCAGATTCTACTTCTTTTGTGAACTGGGTGTGTAGGTCATCTTTTTTTCTCTGTTTTATCTTTTTCTTTTTCTTTTTTTCCCTAGACTTTGGTTTTTTTCCCAAAAATACCTCTTGAATTTCATTCCACATACTTTGATTTTCAAAGATTTCTACAAAGATCTTCTCTAATATCTTTATTAACATATCCTTTTTCTTCTTTTTCCAGTTCTTGGTTCTCTTTCATCTATGTATTTTCGTATTTTAAATCTAGTTCGTATTGGTGATTCTTTGGGCTTATAAAAGCTGTATCCATTTTATAAACAGATCTTTCTCTTTCAACTTCCACACTTTACTATTATTCTGTATGTCTATAATGCTTAATTGGTATATTACTTCGATCAACTACTCTGTAGGATTTGTTAATTCAGCCTTTAGCCTTGGATCTTCTTGAAGTATATCTAGAGTTTCTATTTTGATAAAGCTATTGGTTTTTGTCTAGCTTTTTTTTTCCTTCTTTCTTCGGTCTTTCTTTTTTTTTTTCTCTTGTCTTGCTAACTCTAGCTTAGCTGATACTTTGAAATTTATAACCAGAGTTTTTAATTCTATTTTGTTGTTTTGCTTTTGTCAAATTTTCTTTGTTTCTGAAGTCTCTTGCTCCAGCCTGCTTCTAATTTCGACTTAATTTCAGCTACTTGTTTTTTCTTTTTTATGATTTGTATCTTTTTTTCTTTTGCTTCTATGATTTTCTTCTTAGTCTCATAATGTGCTGCTATGGTAGACTTGACAGATTCTTTGAATTGTTGTATTATAGATTTCAGAACTGTTTTGTTATGCTGTTTTTGTTGGCTACTTTTTTGTTCTTGGAGTCTCTTGCTCCAACCTAATTCTATTTTCACCTTTACTTCAGCAACTTGCTTTCTCCTATCTATTAGTCTTTTTTTTACTTTATCACCTAGTCTTACTTCTATCACGATACTATATATTTTTTCTTTTATAATGCAGTTAACAGGGTCTACATTATCTTGCATTGCTTTGTAAAAATCTCTTGCTTTTTTTTTATAAGTGCAGATATTGTGTATTTTAATTCTTCTTTATTATACCACTATAGCTCTTTATAGAGCTCTTTTATTTGTTTATTGGCTAATTCTTTTGGAATGAGTTTCTGTTCAGAATATTCTGCTATTATTTCTTCTACAGTTTTATCTATACCTTTTTTAGGTGTTTTTGCTATTAGAGCCTAGATTTCTTTTAATACCTCTTTCATCTTTTCAGGTATTTCGACTTTCTTTTTTAGACGCTCTGTTAATATTTGCTTCATGTAACTTGTTGTTTTTCCATTACTATTGAAAGATGTTGTTGTTTGCTGCACGTGTTTAATAGCTTTGTTTACTTTCATCATGTGGTTTTTGTTGTGTTTTTTTTGTTTACTTTCTATTATATGTTGTGTTTTTTGTATCACCAAAACAGATCTATGATTTAGAATCAAGACCGATTTCCCAAAAATTCATAAAATACAAAAAAATATCAATGATTTTTTACGACTTCTTCTATTTTTTTGCTAATACTGCTTCTTCTACTCAAGTCTTCTAAGAGACTGAGTGTTTCTTGTGGTTTTCTTTCTTTTTTCTTAGAGTTCTGAGTTTAGTTTCCTAGTGGTCTTAGTATATTTTTTGTAGTTTTTGTAATTTTGTTTTTTCTAAAAATTTGTGTTTTGATAATCAGCATTATTATTTCAATATTGTATAATTATTAGGGACATGACAAAAATCAGGTAATTTTTTAGAGAAGAAGAGGTAAAAAAGTTAAAATTATATATAAGACCTGATTTTTTTTATATTAAGAAAGAGAAGAAGGGTAAGCTTCTGATAAAAAAAAATCAGGTAATAAATGATACTGCCCTTATTATATTATTTTATTATTTTATTATTTAGTTATTATTATTATTATTATAAGAATAGAATTTAACAGACATATATTATACCTAGTACTTAATACTTAATGATTTATGATTAGCAATTAATAATTAGCGATTAACAAATAGTAATTAACAATTAATGTTTTATACTTAACACTTAATAATTAACGCTTAATACTTAGTGATTAATGATTAGTACTTAATACTTACTATTAATAATTACACTTTATGCTTAGTACTAAGTAAATTACGCTTAGCTATAACAATTAACAATTAGCCTTAAAGATATAAAAAAGATATAAATTTTCTTAAGTTAATATTAGACCTGTTACTATCCACTTTTAAACTCAAACTTTCCTCTACACTAAATTCTTTCTTGTAATATTATAGAATTCTTTAGAAATAGAAATCTAAAAATAGCCTATTTTATTTTTCTTTAATAAATATATATTTTATCTATAAACTATTGTCTGCTCAAACTGTTACAGATAGAAAGGTATAGTTTCTAGTTGTAGTAAAAATTATACTTACCTGTTAGACACCACTATAAACTTATAAAAGATTTCTGTAGATATGTCATTGTTATAGTACTGCTGTTAAAAAGACTATAATACTATAATTTTTGGTGTTTTCTAGCAGATAATATTTTAAAACTATTACCCAAACAATATTATCTCAGACTACTCTTGATTATTAGCTATTTATCAGAGGATAGTTATTCTGGATTAAATTAAATTAAGTATTACAGATGACAACTTTTGCTACCAAAGATTTATTTAGCTAGTATCTAGATATATTATCTTAGAACAACTAAAAAATTCCCCATAAGCCAAAGTGTAGTCATAAGGATCCAATATCAAGAACAATTAAAGAATTCTTCACAAGCCAAAGTGTATATATAAGGATCTAACTCTAAGAATATTATTTTATTTTTCTTCTATTCCTGCTAGCTGCTAGTATTTGCACTTTATTCTATCACCTGCAAAAAATATAGACTGATATATATCGATTATTATCTATATGGATATATATCGATATTAATCTCCCTGTTGAGTTATATTGATTGTGATAATAATCGATATATATCTGGTTAATTTTAAAACAATAATAATTAATCTCAATTAAAATCGATATATAATACTTATATAAAATACTAAATACGTAATTTTTATTTATTAAAAATTTTATTTTATTAAAAAAAATTTTTTATATTAAATTTTTAAATTATTATATATTTTCTACAACTTCTAACCTTTCGTCCTTTTCGTTAGCAAACAAAAGAAAAAGCAAAAAAAATGAACTGGTACTTATCTTTGTACCAGTTCCAGGTTTGAAATCTTAAGCCTGGTGCCTATTAACCCTTGCCAGTAAAATACAAGATCTACAAAAAAAAAATATTAGTAACAACACCAAAATGCAACAAGCAAGAAAACTATAACTGGTACTTATCTTGGTACCAGTTCCAGGTTTGAGATCTCAAGCCTGGTCCCCATTACTCTTGCTAGTGAAGTACAAGACCTAGAAAAAAAAATTGATAATGACAACACCAAAATACGACAAAGCAAAGAAAACTATAAACTGGTACTTATCTTGATACCAGTTTCAGGTTTGAGATCTCTAGCCTGGTTCTTATTACTCTTGCCAGTGAAGTACAAGACCTAAAAAAAAAAACATTAATAACAACACCAAAATTCAATAAAGCAAAAAAAAACTATGAACTGGTACTTATCTTGGTACCAGTTCCAGGTTTGAGATCTCAAGCCCGGTACCTATTAACCCTTGCTGGCGAAGTACAAGATCTACAAAAAAAAAAATATTAGTAACAACACCAAAATACGACAAAACAAAAAAAACTATGAACTAGTACTTATCTTGATACTAGTTCCAGGTTCAAGATTTCAAGCCCGGTGCCCATTAACTCTTCCTAGAGAAGTACAAGATCTACAAGAAAGAAAGAAAAATTAGCAACAGTAAACAAATGAAAAGCAAAAAAAAAAATGAACTGGTACTTATCTTTGTACCAGTTCCAGGTTCAAAATCTCAAGCCTGGTGCCTATTAATCTTTCTTAGTGAAGTACAAGACCTACAAGAAAGAAAGAAAAGTTAGCAACAACAGCAAACAAACGAAAAAAAAATGAAAAAGCAAAAAAAAAACGAACTAGTACTTATCTTGATACCAGTTTCAGATTTGAGATCTCAAGCCCAGTGCCTATTAACTCTTCCCGGAGAAGTACAAGACCTATAAGAAAGAAAGAAAAGTTAGCAACAATAGCAAACAAATGAAAAAGCAAAAAAAAATAAACTGGTACTTATTTTAGTACTAGTTCCAGATTTAAGATCTCAAGCCCAGTGCCTATTAACCCTTCTTGGCAAAGTACAAGATCTACAAGAAAGAAAGAAAAGTTAACAACAATAGCAAACAAATAAAAAAAAACAAAAAAGCAAAAAAAAAACAAACTGGTACTTATTTTGTAGTACCAGTTTCGGGTTCGAGATCTCAAGCCTGGTGTTCATTAACCCTTTCTGGTGAAGTACAAGACCTACAAGAAAGGAAAAAAGTTAGCAACAAA